TGGCTCGGAGCCGCCGGGGGGCCGGGCCTGGGCTCGGCGAGCCCGCGGATTGGGCCGGCCGGGGGGCGGGGCCTGGCGTGCGGCGTTCTGGGCCGTGCCGGGCTCCAGTGCGAGACGGAGGGGGAGTCCCAGGGAGCCTCAGGAATACAGGACTGGAAGGGACCTCGGGCCAGCCCCCTGCTCTAGGCAGGAAAGAGGGCTGGGTAAAATAACGCCAGCAAGGTGCGTCCGGTCTCCTTTTGAAGATCCCCCTTGTTCTCCCTCGAGTGTTGCTCCCGTCCCCTGCCTCTGCCCGAGCTGCTGCTCTGCTTTCTGCTCCTTGCCTGGTCTTCTGGTCCGCCTGCGGGGCACCACAGGGAGCCCTAGGAATTGGCAATGCATAGGGGGTGCATGTGGGTAATAAACCCCCTAAGTGTGGCACTGCAGCCCCTGCAAAAAGGCAGCGCAGGCACCACTCGCCCCCCCGCGGCGTCTGCGAGCAGTCCGCAATCACTGCTGGACACCGCAATGCTGCCAGCAACATCTGTGGGTGATTGCCGATGGCTGGTTGGCGCTTGCCACCCCGCAGCAGGAGCTCGCTGTGGTCCCCCCAGCTGCCAGGGGCACACAGCATTCATGGTGCTAGGGAAGTGGGCTGCAAGGGACCTCCATAGATCAAGTCCCATAACTATCCCATACAAACCATAATCCAGCCATTCCCAAACTGTAGGTCACAACCCCAACTGGGGTGGCAACATCAGTGGATGGGGTTGCAAGGGTACAGGACTGGGGGTTGGGAGTGAGGGGCCATGCAGAGGAGAAGTTTGGGAAGCACTGCCATAATCTGAACTCTCTACATACAACTGCCCTTAACGCTGACTTACCGCAGACCTAACAAACACCCTCACATGCCACAGGTAAAGCAGGGGAACCAGGGCAGCCAACATCCTGCTTCTGTGAAATGTTTTCAACACATGCTCAAGAGATCCTGAGATGGATTTGGGGCTGAAAACATGCAGAGGATGCCCCTGCCGCTTGCGGCACTCACACCGCATGTCAGCCACCCTGGCTTTAGCCAACAGTCCTCCCCCCATCAGTTGCCATCAAAAAGCCTCCATCCACTCAAAGGCTGGTTGTAATCCACCTAATTTGCAGACTGCAAAAAAAATCCTAAATGTTTGGGTGAGCCCATCTATGTTATTACAGGGTGTCATGACAGCTTCGGGGCTGCTCAGACGACGTTCTGAAGCATTCTCACGGAGCATAAGCATAGGTCAGACCTGATCTGACCAGCCTGAGTCTTGTCTTTACTAGAAAGTCATGTTAGTAAATGTAGGTCTGGAAGGTCCTGTTCAACAGTGTCCCTTTGCAGTAAACAGGACAGTTCCTGTCTCTGTTTAACATCATGCAGTGGAGATGGGGAAGTTCTACTGCAGGGGTAGGCAAAGTCTGGCTCACGGGCTAGATGAGGCCTGTGGCTGACTTCATTTCCCAGCAGCCCCTGCCTGCACTGCTGCAGCCAGTTTCCATGGAGACCCCAGCAGTGGCAAGGCCATGAGAGTGTGGGACCAGGACTTGCATGGAGACTGGCCCCAGCAGTGCTGGCAGGGCATGCAGCTGGGCACAGAGCTGCTCTGGGGCTGAGATCTTACGGTGGTGACAGCATGGTCTACAGCCAGGACAGACTGCAATCCTCCTCTTCTGCCACCTCCCACACCCCCAGGTTGTTTTTGTTGTTGTTTTTTTTGGGGGGGGGGAGGGGTTAAGTGAAAACATTTGCCAGTGAGTCTTGATAAGATTACTCATCATCATAGCTGAAGCTGTTCCCCAGCTCCATGATCTTATCAGGGGGTAACTGAGGCAATTTCAATAATATTTATTGTTAAAAAACACAGATCATTCTGTATAGACCATAGAGTAGTTTTCCACTGAAGTATTTTAAGTATCTTCAGCTAAGATAACAGGGTCGCTTTCTCCAATTTCCACTGCTGGTATCAAGGAAAAATAATTCCTCTGCCTTTGGTACAGACATTTCAGATTTAAATTGGTGTAAACAGGATGCATTACATAGCTTCTTGCTCCCAAGATAGTACTCATACATCCAGGGAAGGGAAGCAAGATTCTCCTCTCTTCCTGTTGAGCAACACTTCCCACTGAGCCTGGAAGTGGGGCTGAAATGCTCTGGAGGGAGCAGAGCCCACTCTTCTGCATGACGGATGAATTGATCTTACAGATCAACTTCCAGAGAAGGTAATAAATGAGCATGCACCAGGAGTCATCTACTCAGTAGCCACTAATCCAGTTACTGGCATTTTTCCAGCATAAAGTTTTATCTAGTTATATCAATCCATATATGTAACCTCTGTTGTGCACACACAAGTCTGGCTGGAGACTCTTTGGTATACATCTTATACAAAAATATATATTTTTGTATAATATATCATATTATATATGATATGTCATATTATATATGATAATATGATGCAGGGGTGGGGGCTGCAGGAAGATGAGGAGACACCACTCAAGCAAGACAGGTGACAGACAGGTGACAAATGCAAGGAGTGCCCAGGTAAGAAACAGGGGTCCAGACAGTCTCCCAAATTGGGGGGTGGCACACGCAGCTAGGCAGGGCCTTAAATGCCTATACACCAATGCTCGTAGTATGGGGAATAAGCAGGAGGAACTTGCCCTCAGAATAGCCAGTTAAGACCCAGACATAACAGGGTTAACAGAAACTTGGTGGGATTCATCCCATGACTGGGCAGTTAGTATTAGGGGCTATAGGCTTTACAGGCAGGACAGAGAAGAAAGGAAAGGTGGGGGTGTGGCGCTCTATGTCAAGGAGCACTACACATCCTCTGCCAGCAAAATGGGCTCAGAGGAG